TCACAACTTGAGACCTCCCTTCAAGATAAGATTTAATCAATGAGAGAGCATCGCCTCGTACCCCGTACCTTTCGAGCTTTGACAACAGGAGACTATGTGACACACAGTCAAAAGCGCGGGATAGGTCACACATTACAACAGAAGTAGAATTTCTAATCTCTAGACCATTTAAGATTTCTAGAACAAGACAGTCCACAGCCTGAACGGTGGACTTTCCTTTTTGGAAGCCAAATTGAGCGGGCACAATAAGGCGATGCCTCTCAAAGTAGCTGTACAGCTGCTCTAACATGACTGCTTCAAGCACCTTACCAAAGATGGGGATGATAGATATTGGTCTGTAACTTACAGTACTGTCCTTTGGTCCCTTTTTGTACACAGGTACAGTCCTACTAATCTTCAGAGCCTCAGGAAAGACTCCTTCTCTCAGAGATTTATTTACAATATCTACAATGATTGGCGCAACTACATAGATACATCTTTTTAAAAGCTCAACAGACATGTTATAAAAATCTTGACTCTTAGAGGATTTAAAGCTACTGACTACTCTAAGCAGCTTATCAACAGTAACAGGTGTCCATGAAAAATTAGTGGGAACAAATGGAACAGAATTAAGGCAATCATAAGGAACAGATGGATCAGGTTTACAAGAGAGGATTAATTCATCAACAGACTCAAGAAAATATGAATTAAACTCATCAGCAGTGCAAAAGTCTTTAGCAGGAACAGTAGTGGGGGTTTTATGCCTATTGATGTAGTTCCAGGCAGCCTTGCAAGCATTTGGAGATGTAGCAATGGCAGTAGCAGTAGCAAATTGCTTCGCCTCCCTTACCTTCAAACGATAATGCTTCCTGAGATCACGAAGGTAGGGCAGCAATTGTGGGTTACTCTTGCATAAGTCACTGATACCTAGGATAAAGTTCTTAAAGGCAGAGAGTTCAGGTGTGTACCAGTTGTTTACACTGCACCCAGCATTTGCCTTGGCTGGAGGCACAGTCCTGCAGGTTTTATTTCTTAAGGGAAAACAATAGTCAAAAACTTTTCTGAAATTATCAAAGAAATAGTCAAAGGATTGTTCAGCATTAAATGATTCTATTTCAGAGAGCCACTTTACTGCCAGATCAGTCAATACACATTGAAAGTAACAGTAGTTACTTTCATTAAATTGTCTGTAAGTTACAGTTTTGACAGGATTATTTAAGTAGTCAGGTTCCTGCAGACCATGTTTGGATACACCTTCAGGTAGATCTAGTTTAAAAAAAACATGTTTGTGATCAGATATCTGATCTACACTTACATGGGCCATGTATCTCCAGCTATCAAGATTGGTAAGAACAGTGTCTAAAGGAGATAGACCACGGGTTGGTTCATTGACACTGAAGAATATATCATGGCTACGGAGAATGTTCCTGAAATCACTGGCCTCACTTGGATGGTTGAGTATATTCACATTGTGGTCAGTGCCGATTATAATATCTAACCCCAGGGAAGTTAAATAAACTAGACACATGTCAAGTAGATAAAAAAAGCGTTCAAAACTACTACTAGGCGAGTGATACATGGTGACAACAATGAGATTCAAGTTAGAGATGACTATACCTGTAAATTCTGCATGCAGTTCTTCACAGTACTCACTTAAGTCTAACAAAGAGTAGTTCCATTTAGTATTAATATAAATTGACACACCCCCCCAAGAGGTTTTTCGACAAAAACAAGATACAAGGTCAAGGCTATTGATTCTAGAGTAGTATGCAGTTTCTGCCTCTAACAACCAATGTTCAGACACACAAAGCACATCAATGTCCAGTTGACAGCAAAGTATCTCAAGTTCAGCAATTTTATTGCGTATAGATTGCACATTTATAGCACACACAAGCAGGCTACTAGCAGATTTTCCCGTACTAGGCAAGATTTCAGGCCCATAACCTAGGATTGAGTTTGACGGGGCTGCATTTTCCCTAAAAAAGTACGAGAAGGAATGTAGCTTTTAACGTTATTTTGTCTGCCTGAACGACGTTCTTCAAACTCTTTTACAAAAATTCCCTCGGGCCAAAATTCAGGTTTCAATAAGTCCTTAACAAGATTATCAGAGACGCTTACCTTGAAACTTGTATAGTCTGAAAACCTGGTAGGTAGTTTCTCACATTTGTTACAAATAACATTTTCACTTTTTAGATAGGATTCAATGTCACTACTTTCCGTATCTGAAGAACAACGACTAACAAAAACTGCCTTGGATTTTTCCGCACGCTTGAGACCACTTTTGTCAGTATTTGAACCTATAATGGGTTTAGTCTTAGTTTTAGGAAACCTAACCTCTTCTTGAGACGTCTTGGAAGTTGTAGGTCTAATTTTGTTTCTAGGCCTACTGTCAGTATTGCTAGCTAGTACTTGGGAGTAGCTTTTATTCCTATTTTCAGTGTTTCCGGCCTCCTGTCCATTCACTTTGTCATCAGATTCGGAATTTGGTAGACTTGACTCTTGACTAGGCCTAGGCTTGTCCTTTGCTGTTACGTCGTCGTCGTTGGAAACGTAGGCTATTGCTGTAATTTTGTCCAGGGAAACTAATGATGGTTATGAAGATTTAGTTTTCTGTCCAAAACGTCAAAATATGTTGTCTATCCGAAAAAGTCGGATATATAACGGATAGTATCGGATATCAAATTTAGGCTCGGTTCGGATACGGATATCCGAACCGAACCGAATCCGACCCGATTTTTCGGTTAACCGCACACCTCTACTTACAATTCCAACATTCTGTTCGATCGCATCGATTCATTGAACAATAGAAATACTGACAAACAGCTGATCACCCTCTCCCCCAAGGCCAAGGTCAACGTCTCCAGGGTATCGGCTAACATGAATCAGTCAGTCAGTCAGTGTACCGGTCCGCACAACGATGTAATCACTTTTGTTTAGGCCGGCCAAAAGTATAATTTTTCAATGTTACGTGTAAATATAAATGTTTCGTGTGTCAGTGTATGTGTATATGTAAACTTCAACGGTGACCAATGCTTAAACAGTAATTAACATGACAGAAAATTTGACAATGGGGCTGTTGGCCCCGAAACTATAGTCATTGTAAAAGACGACTTGGATTGAGGACGTATACAAGGTATTTAACCTATTATTATTATTTATTTAGTTAGTTTTAAAGAAGTATATCATTGGTATAGTTTTATTTAACACGTTCGCTGCTGACTGCTAGATGCCGGGGCGGCACCAGGAGCTGAACTAGCGCTCGCCGCTGCGTAACTTTGCCGCCGATACACTGAATTACAGTAAAAAATACAGTAGTTATACTGGATGGCAATGTTCTGCAATAAAACTGGCTTTGGACTAAGTAATTCTGATAGATAGCAGCACTACCCAGGTTATTTTATCACTCCTCATCAACATGGATTTTTCCAGGTCGAACAATTAATTCAAATTTAATAAATTTTTCACAGTAAATTATAAATTCTATTGATCAGAACATTCAAGTTGATTGTGTGTACACCGATTTTGAAAAAGCATTTGATAGAGTTAATCACTTAGTGTTATTGTCTAAGCTGCATTACTATGGCCTATCTGAGAACACATTAAGACTATTTTCTTCATATTTATACAAACGTAAACAGTATGTAACATACAATGGTGCATGCTCCAACACATTTCTGGTGGACTCAGGTGCCCCAAGGTTCAAATTTAGGGCCTTTATTATTCATAGTATTTATAAATGATATAACCAGATGTGTAAAACATAGTAAAATTTTAATGTACGCTGACGATTTAAACTTTCAAAAATATTGACACAATCTTGGATTCTCAACAGCTACAAACTGATATTGATGAAATAATTGCTTGGAGTAAAGAAAATATATTATTTAATGTTAAAAAATGTGCTGTTATGAGTTATACAAGGAAAACTAGCCAAACTATTGTAAATTTTCCTTATTTAATGGATGGTGTTGTCTTATGTAGAAAGTCAGCATTTAAAGATCTTGGTGTTGTTTTGGATAGTAAATTTCTTATTTGCAGAACACGTGATGAACACCTTGTAAGGCAGCATATTCAGTATTAGGTTTCATTCATAGATCTTGCATTTTTTTAAGAAATTTAAATTCAGTAAAATGATTATTTTGCTCATTCGCTCACGATTAGAATATGCATCAGTTGTACGGTATCATCATCAGCTTTATTTTGTAGACATGATTGAGGTGATTCAAAAAAGATTTTTAAAATTTATGTATTTTAAAACATTTGGTCACTGTACATTCAACATTTCATACCACCAGCTCTTGACCATGTTTGATATGACTATAGCTCGGCCGCTTAGAAAACGACCTGCGAGCTAATGCTAAACCAATGCTGGAGGAGGTCGTTTTCTAAGCGGCCGAGCTATAGTCTCAGTGACAGAAGGAAGTTGGCCGCCTTATCTTATCTCTGTAAACTGGTGAGCGGTGTTCTGGACGATAGTGACTTGCTGGGACAAATCAATTTTCACGTTCCACGGCACAATTCATGCAGCACTCTTGTATTTACCCCTCGTTACTCTCGTACCAATCTTGGATTCAATTCTCCACAAAAAAAAAAAAAAAGTGTGGAGGTAGACAGGTGGACTATAAACAGGTTGTGAAGCAATTCTGTATAGATATGTTTGGGTGTGGTAATAAGGTGTGGGTAAATAGGGCGCATCCATTAGGAAACAGTAAGAACACTTTAATTGCCCACTTTCCCGACGATTACGATTACATGTATATCATCTCCAACACTAGTAGGTTAAAGGGTACAGGGTTTGTTCACCGTGATTACCCGCTGGAAATCCGCGAAAAACGAGCTCACTTGATCGTGATTAGGTCTGAGATTGAAAGAGTTGTGGGTGGTAAACGACGTATGCCTATTAATTTTGACAGTTTGATTGTGAATGATTGCCGTTTCTCTTGGAGGGACGGAGGACTCTGGGCAGGGAGACAAAATGGTGTTGAGAAACTATTAGCCATCACAGGGCATGACTTTTCTAGTTTTGTAAGTGAGCTGAGTGAGAATGGGCCTCAGAAAAACTCAAACCTAAAGCAGAATGACGAAGAGCGAGCACCTCTATCAACACCAAAGCAGCAGACCAAGGTGTCAACCCAGACGCCACTAGGACAGCTTGGGACAACACCAACGGTAGCCTCCGCCGCCACCACTCAAGAGTGAGCAACCTACGCCAATCCCGAGGGAGAAGAGGACGCCGAGGACGCCGACCTCAAAAATGAACATTCCCTTAAGGTTATTTCATACAATGTATGTGGACTAAAATCAAAGGTTAGTTGTAGTTCATTTAAACAATTAATTAATGAGTGTGATATTTTTATTTTAATAGAAACTTTTATTACAGACAATGAAAGAGAGTTTTTTGTTGACTTTTTCCAAGGGTTTAAGATTAAGTTTGAATTTGCTCACAGGGTACATTGTTTTGGGAGAGCGATAGGAGGGGTAATATTAGGAATTAATTTAAAAAGTAAATTCGTAGAGCAACTTAGTTTTGGAGTACTAGATAATTTCAATCTCATCAATGTTAAAAGGCTGCATAACAGCAAAGAATTGTCAATCTTGCCTCTTTACCTTAATTATAATTGTTGGGAAAATGATTTTCAGAGAGTGAACCAATTTCTTACTGATAATCCACAAAGTTTTTTTAGTTAGTATAAATTCTCTTGTTACTGTATATTTAAATATTATATTGTCATTCTTATTTATATTTTATATTTATATTTTGAGTGAAACTGTCACCATAGAAGACGGACATTTTTCCCCTAGTTGTGTTTATTTATATATTGTAATATCTTGTTAACATTCTTGTTATATGATTAATGCTACAAAGTAATTGGCATGTGCTGTTTTGTAGCATTGAAAATAAAATAAATAAATAACTAATATGCATCAAGGAGACATCATTACAGACACCCATGATCGTGGATGAAATCGTGGGCATCTCTCCTAAATTATGTCAAAGCCATCATAGGTATCCGTGACCGCGGCAAAATCATGAACATTCCCCGCGGGCTGCAACAAAGGTGCATCATCCTTGACACTCAAGACCGTGGCGAAATCGTCATCATATCCCGTGAGCTGTAACCTTGAGGACATCATCACCGTCACCCGCGACAGCAGTGAAATCGTGAACACCTCCCGCGGGCCGCAATCACAGGGACATCATCATCAACACTCGTGACCGTGGCAAAATCGTGTTAAATAATCTCCCGTTGACTACAATAATGAGGACAATCATTGTCACCCGCGCCCGTGGCGAAATCGTAAACATCCCCCTTGGGAAGCCATCACGGGAACATCATCACCGTCACCCGTGGCCGCGGCGAAATCGTTAACATCTCCCTCGGCCCACAATTATGGAGACATCATAATCGTCACCTGCAATCGCGGCAAACTAATGGTTTAAAAAAATGATTTTTTTATCTAAAAAATTTTTTTTCAATCCTCTGTGGCCCCCTTTTGTTTGTGGTGGTAAATCCGACACTGCCCCCCGGTAGCCTCCTCCTTGACAAGTTCCTAGAACCACCACTGGTTACTACAGAATTATGTCTCCACCTTCAGAGTCCACACACCACATGTATGCTTCACAACATGTCTGTGGCTCGTATATAGCTAAAGCAGGCGGTCTTGCGACCCTGTCATCCACATTCACAGTCTGCAAGTTGGACCCGGTTCACAACACACTTATGTGCCACAAGTCTTTGATATCACCCACAACTGCCGCAGGACAGTACACAGCTGAGCTCAGTTTATGCATGAATCATAAAATCAGGTAGGATATACCTACCGACGTTCAAAATAGTGAATATTAAAACAAACAAGCTGTAAGCTAATACTTTGGATGTGTCTCTCTAACAACTATATGAATATGACTAAACTCAAGGTATTAAAAAAGAAAATATAAATGTACTATCAACTATTATTTATATGTACAAGATAATATATATTATGTTGGAATCAATGGTGATAAGTTTTCATTACTAATCTCTTTATCTTCAGGGAAGAGCCAGTCAGAAGGAGCCAGCCACCACTCGGGAGCAAGAGGCAGACGCTCCTCTACGTTGGGAGTCCAGTGATGAATCATACACCGGACCTTCACTTTGAACTTTTTGTTGATCTGCAATTGAACTTATATGAATGCTCAAACAATAAACTAAATTTTTAAACTGTTACACACCATTTTGATACCACATCAAAGTACACTTGCAGGCTGAATACAAGTTACATTAGTTATATTTGTCTAAATTTTTAAACTGTTACACACCATTTTGATACCCCATCAAAGTACACTTGCAGGCTGAATACAAGTTACATTAGTTATATTTGTAAATTTTTAAGCAATTATTTTTACAGATTCCCAGGCAGGGTGTCCACAGAAAATCATCATCATCTATATATTAATCACGTAAGCCGATTCTTTACGTCAAAATTGTGGGCGACTAGGAAGTCGTAGAACGACGAGAGTGGGTCCAAACAACAAATTAATGGTCTCAATCCAGTGACGGCAGGAAAAATAGTGAAATTCCCCTAATTTCAACACAAAATTAGATATAACGTAAAATGTTCTCCATAAGAATAGCATTAGAAGCCATTTATTGCTGATTTTTGTTTACTTCAATACAGCCAATCGTGAATTATCTCAAAGCCAGTAATTAATGGTCTCAATCCAGTGACGGCAGGAAAAATAGTGAAATTCCCCTAATTTCAACACAAAATTAGATATAACGTAAAATGTTCTCCATAAGAATAGCATTAGAAGCCATTTATTGCTGATTTTTGTTTACTTCAATACAGCCAATCGTGAATTATCTCAAAGCCAGTAAGCAAAATTACATTTGGATTACTCATTTGCCAGTCAATTCTGCAATTTGTACTATATAGTGTATACTAATAAAACCAGGGGAAGTTTTTTCTTCTAATTTGAAGGTTATCGTTGTGTTGAAGGAATGATTTAAATGAAATAACCACATTGACTAAGTAATAATCTATTCAAGATTAAATGGAAAACATCTGCTAAAACAAAGCAATCAAAACATATGTTAAAAATTTATTCTTAAATTTTTGTATATTTACTAACATTTTTAATTTGAGATTTAAGTGTAGATCAATATTTTGTATGAAATGGCATAACCTCAACGGCCACTCTTAGAAAACAACCTGGAAATAAATATGAAATAGGTTCGTACAGACAGAGGCAATATATTTGTTCATTAAGTTGTTCCTTTAAGTTAATTCATTCAATAAGTTCTAATGGGCGGAAATATTATGGTTTGTAGGAGATTTTAACCAGGCACTGCCTGTTGCTCCAAACGAAAAAGGTTCAAATAATAGCCTAGCATGTGTGTAATGTAGTGTAGCATGTAAAAGAAGCATCCATATATAACTATAATAGTTAAGGCATTAGTTAGGCAAGTTGTGGAAGAAGTGAAGGTGATAGCAAGAAATCTGACAAGCAAAGACCACCTCATAGTGCTGGCAGTAGGGGTGTGCGAGTATTCGAACATCGAGCTTTTTCGAGCCGAATAGAACGCTATTCAGCTCGGCTCGCGATTTTCAAAAAGTTCGAAATGTTCGAGCCGAATACTTATTGAACTAGCAAATAAAAATTAAATTAATAAATAAGGAAATAACTTTCATTTAAATTCACTCTCCTCCGTTTCATAATTGTGTCTTGATAAGCACGAACCTCAGCTCAGTCAAGACGCAATGATTATCGATCGTAATTTTGAGGAAACTACCACCTATCGCGTTGTCTTTTTAACACAACTATTCGTATCGTAATATACAACGCAGTGCGAGTGCGTGATTGGCTAAGTCGCTATGACGACACACGGTTGCCGTGGCAACCTACAGTGCGCACTGAGCACTGCGCCTTGTGTGGGAGGGGAGATTATACCAACAAACTATTTCAGGAATTCTATTTTGGGACGGATGAATGATAAGGAAGAAACAAAAATTGGTCACGTGTGCAAATGTAGTGGGCGAGACAATAAGGCTGTAAAGGAGAGTCGTGTCGTTGTTCCTTGTTTGTTTACTTTTTCAGATTCCTTATCAAACGCCCCTATCTGCTATCTCTCTTTCTCTCTCTCTTCCCCTCTCTCTCTCTCTCTCTCTCTCTCTCTCTCCCTCTCTCTCTCTCTCTCTCTCTCTCTCTCTCTAACAATGTACTGATTAAACAGAGTACCTGGGGACCGAGCTTTGCTCGGAGAAAATCATTAGTTCACTCTGAAAGCAGTCTTAGTATCGGAGATACATAAATCTGTTCCCAAACTCCACACGGCTCGCCTTTACAACGTCCTAAACCATTTCCTACGTCATGGACCTGTTTCCCTCCATTCCCATAGCATTTCAGAATTGCAGATACGTTAATCTAATCGTCATAAACAGTTCCCACACTCCATACTAATCGCCTTTACTACTTCCTTCACCACTTCCTACGTCGCAAACATGTTTCCCTCCCTTCCCATTGCATTTAAAGATTGCAGATACATTAATCTAATCGTCATAAACAGTTCCCACACTCCGGACAGCTCGCCTTGACTACTTCCTTCACCACATCCTACGTCGCGGACCTGTTTCCCTCCCTTCCCATTGCATTTAAAGATTGCAGATACCTTAATCTAATCGTCATAAACAGTTCCCACACTCCGGACAACTCGCCTTGACTACTTCCGTCACCACTTCCTACGTCGCGGACCTGTTTCCCTCCCTTCCCATAGCATTTTAGGATAGCCCATACCCTTATCTAATCGTCATAAACAGTTCCCACACTCCGGACAGCTCGCCTTGACTACTTCCTTCACCACTTCCTACGTCACGGACCTGTTTCCCTCCCTTCCCATAGCATTTTAGGATTGCAGATACCCTAATCTTATCGTCATAAACAGTCCCCACACTCCGGACTGCTCGCATTTACTACTTCCTTCATCACTTCCTACGTCACGGACCTGTTTCCCTCTATTCCCATAGCATTTTATGATTGCCTTTACTACTTCCTTCACTACTTCCTACATCACGGACCTGTTTCCTTCCCTTCCCATAGCATTTTAGGATTGCAGATACCTTAATGTATTCGTCATAAACAGATCCTAGACTTCGCACTGCTACCCTTGACTACAATGTCTCGAGTAATCTTAAGTATAATCAATCTTTGGTATAATCTTTGCTCAATATTAACAAGTGATGTTTTTCCTTTTGTACTGTATTTGTAATTTGCTAGTATACTGTGGGTAGTTGGTTTATTATGAACACGTGCTACAACTTCAAGTCTTTTGTTTACCTTTTCCTTGTTATTTAATTCAACCAACATGGTTACTTAGCAACCCATAAGACTAATGTTAAAAAAATGTGACTTTCAGTTTCGTTTTTCTACGTAATTAGATTTTTGTTGGCAGTTCTAACTGCATGAAACTTGTTTTTAGGCCAAAAATAAACTATTTACAAGATTTGAAGAAAATCGTCGGAGCCGTTTTCGAGATCTTTCTGCAAGCAAGCAAGCAAGCAAGCAAGCAAGCAAGCAAGCATACATACAAGCAAACATTGCTCGTATTAGAGTATAGGATTGTGGTTGACGACTTTTCTACTTATAAGTTTCCCTGCGGTTATTTTAGTTCAATCAATCCCATAACCTTTCTAATGTTTATCAAAATAATTAATTAATATGTTTTGTATTTTATTTCCTTTAAACCAACCCCTATTTACCATCTGTATTTTATAGAATAAAATGTTTGTTTTTAAAGTTTGACTGGCCACACAATTTTGTACCTATTTTATTTTGTATAAAGTACCAGTTACTTTGAGGATTATTAATATATATATCAATAAGTGGCGCGTGCTGTAATGAGTGCTTTTTATTATCAAAATAAGTAATGAGTTATTAATTGTTGATAGTACATGGGTCATTGAATACCATAATGTGATGTAGTTTCCTATTTGTATCTTGCAAATAATAATAATTGATAGTTAATTCTGGAAATGAAAAATAGTGATCGCATTCATAAACCTGTTGTCAAAACAGCAACGAGGGTGTAAGGGTTTATTGTTTCAGACGCAAGGGTGTTTCAAGGACAAAGTGTTGGGCCACCCGGATTGGGGGGGGGGGAGGGGCGGTGAGACTGTGTGAAGGGGAGGAAACTGGTTTTGGCTATTTATTGATTAGTTCGCCGACCCTTCTAGATAACAAAATTGAGTGACAGTGTTAAATCATCGTGTTCTGCATTTCATTTTTATTTTACTTTGTGTGTTATTCTATTAATTCTAGTGCTTTGGTCTATTTCCTCTATATGTCAATTATATATTTTTTAATATATAAGTAAAACTTGTCTCTCCACCTTTTTGGATCCAAACCAACCATGTTCTTTTTTGATTAATAGGATTCATAAAACAAAAATATTTTGTGCATGGAAAACAACAAGAATAATCATGTGTTTTTAAATTTATTTTGTATTTATTTATACAAAATAGAATTAAATATTCATAGTAGTTACAATATAAATATGTAATCGACTTGCCAGTTGTTTTGTCGTCATTCAAGGTCGCGTTGCTGTTCTGTTATGAAAGACAATCTGATTGTCTCAGTCTGCACGTTGGTCTGCACTGCATATCTCTTCAGGCCTTCAATCGATATCCTTTTATTTCTTGCATCTTCATTTAGTTCAGTTCAGTTCTTATCGTGATTATCTACTATTTGATGTCTTGATAATTCTCAATATTTTTAAACATATTAAAATAACATTGTGTTTATTTAAAAATTGACTGAACATTATTATTATTATGCACTTTTTTAAGAAAAAAAGTTTAATAATTAAGATAAGGTTACGCTAGGAAAAGCTCGGCTCGAAAAAGCTTGAGCTCGAACATTTTTTAAAAAGCTCGGCTCGGCTCGAGGTTGAAAATCACTATTCGCACACCCCTAAGGTGCTAACAATGTAGAAACTACACCCATTAAGCAGCTCATAACTGAAATTAATCAGTTCATTACTGAGGTAAACAATACAAACCTGATTTTTTCAACATTACCAATGCGACATGACCGGCCAGACCTGGATTTGAAAATCAGCAATATAAATACTGAACTAGCAAAGATCACTGGTTTACATAGTCACATGACTCTCCTAC